CAAACCAAATTGGTAGGACAGTTTCAATAATTAACACACTGCATATGTTCTTCCTAGTGGTTAATTGCTGCACAAGATGTGGACATGATATCCTATTTACAAACAGTATTAAAACAAATCCCTCTATTCATTAAGAGAATGCAACTATATATCTATCCTAACCATTTTGAGTACACAGATACAAAATGGACATCATCCGTATCCCCTTTTTTTGTTAAGTTCCGTTATTTTGTTCATTTTGATAGTTTCTTGTCTTTGCTTTCTGAAAGAAATTTTAGGACTAGAAATTTCCAGGACTTCATTATTTAGTTGCTGGCTCTTCCAGGCTTATTCTGTAATTTTGTTCTTTGCTTTTTGTTATTGTCTTCTAATGTCTCAAAATTATCTGAAAACTTTTCATTTTCAGTTTTATACTGTTATATTTATTATAAAGAGCCTTTATCCTTTAACTTTTAAATAGCATCATATTTATGGATTCAGTGTCTCTTCATTTCTGTGAGGACACTGATGAAGATAACCCTTTTGAAATTTTCATTGCTGGTACTTTGTTTCTCATAAGTTCCTTTTAAAAAATCTTTATTTTTTAAATACCTCTTGCATTAAGAAACAGAGGAAACATTAAGAAATGGAAGAAAAATTCGACCCTAGGACTTGACTGGTACGCCCTTGTAGAGTGGTGGTGAAGCGCCGTTACCTTGGGAGTCCCTGGGGTCAGTGGTTTGGGCTCTTGGACGCTTCCGATTCCTGAGAAAAGGCTCAGTGTCCTCTGCTCACTGCAGTCAGTGTGGCTTCACTCACTTTTCCCATTTTTTTGGTGGCTCCTGGCATCATAAGCTGTGCTTCATGACCCACATTTGAAAGCTTTCTTACTCTAAGCATGAACACCTCATTTTCTGTTGCAGCAGCCTAACTGCTTCTGAAACACTTTCAACTGCTCCGCTTTTTTCAGCCTCACCTTTTACAAAAGGGCTTGGGGTAGGAAGCTCTCGGAGTACCAGGCCTGAACTCCAGGACACAGTGCATGGTGGGTGGTTCAGGGGCTTTCCCAGCTACTGACTGAAAATTCACCTTTCTTGGATCGTCATTCTTCATCACTGCCTGTCCTGCTGCTTAGCTTCCCTTATTTTGTTGGCATTACCTCTTTTCCTGTGTCTATTAAAATAAATAATTCCTTTTACTGTCTTAGTAAGATTTCTGGAGGAGGGAAAATTAACTTCTGAGTTCAATCCACTTTAATCAGAATTTTCTCCTTCTTAATTTGAAAGAAGTATGTCTAACAGCGGAGTTGAAAACCACTTTCCCAAAGAGCTGCTGAAGGAGTGTTGCTCTGTTGTGCTGACTACCTAGGAGCAAACTACAGCCTGCAGTAGGGTATAAAACCCTGTGTCTTTTATACTTGAGAGTTTTTGTCCCTGCAGGTAAAATGGTGGGGACTGTGCATGCAGCTTGTCAGTGGGGTGACACTAACGACAGGGAAGGCCTAGAGTGCAGTGATTGGTGTGCAGGGCTAGACATTGACCTCTACTTAGTTACTACTTTCTCTTATTTGACACCACTGTTTAACTCAATTCCTAACCCCAAACCTATCTCACAGGATGATGAAAGCCTCAAGTACCTCACACATGAGGAAAAAGATGTCATCCTGTTCTTTGAAGAGACTCTGGATTCCCTGGAAGATGACTTGGAGGAGCCTGTGTGTGACAGTGGCATTCATTGCCAATCTCCACAGTCTCTGGAAGACAGCCCATCCAGTCACTCTGAGCCTGAAGAGGTCATCGATTTAGTGCAGCCTGGTCCTGCGGCCGGGGAAACAGGTTGCCTTCCAGAACTGTCTCACAGTACAGGTGAGGAGGTGAAGCACAGGTCCTGGGCCTGTGACCTGATTGGCTGGTGTGTCCAGGACAGAGGCTCTTTCTGCTGTGTCTGCCTGTGTTTGCCATAGAGCAGCTGTTGGTGGCACCTGTGTTTCCATGGAGGAAACAGCTCTCTTGGTCATCTGATTGTCTAGCAAGGGGATTTGCAAAGGACTAGGACACGGAATGAGGCCATCTGAGCATGTAAATAGGGTGTGTGTGTGTGTCTGTGTGTGTGTCTCTCTGTGTGTGTATAGAGAACTAGAAGTGGCTTCCAGGTAACAATTCTGTTCTTCTAAGAAAACATATAGGGCACTTTTTTATTATAGTGCAAGTTTATACTCCAGTTCTGTGGTATATTATTTTCCAGTGTGGAGGCATTTGAACTGTGAGTCATCTGGTTCAAAAGATCAGAACAGAAGTTCAGGTCAGCATCTACTTTGTACATTTCAATCAGCTCTGAATGGCATCAAAGCATAGATAAGCTTCTGTTCACTGATTCCTGTGTTAGAAATGTGGAGCAGTGGACAGAGAGAAATTCTATCCAATTTTTTTTTTCTTGATTGGAAAGGATATTGAAAACAAGTGGTCAAGGGCATAGGAATGGAAGAATAAGGGAAAATTAAGAAGGAAACACTTATTTTTAAACACTACATTGATGCCTCAGTTCACAATCTTGATTGTTTCCATGATACCAATAACAAACAAAATTGATCTCAAACCACATCAAATTTGCCCATAAGGTCAACACTGAACCTAATGACTGAATTTGATTTGGTTCATGACTGATTTCATTTGTAACCAGAATCATAGGAAGAATTAGGTTTGTGAGCTGAGGTACCACTGGTACTAGGGATTGAACTTAGGCCTTTGCACTGAACTATAGCCCTTTTCTCATTTTTCATTTAAAGACAAGGTCTCACTAAGTTGCTAAGTTACCCAGGCTAGGGTGGCATATGTAATTTTCCTGCCTTAACCTCTCAGAGTGATAGCATTACGGGTGTGTGTCACCATGCCTGATTTGAGAGAAATACTTTTGCTCTAGTAACTATAAAACATTGCCATTTGTCATAAACTTCCAGAAATATGTGTTAAAGTAATATTTAATATGTATTATTAAGAATTTCACATCCTATAGTTACAGATTCTGTATACAATGAAGCTTCATCTGTAGCCAGAGAAGAGACTATGAATTTGGCTTTTTTATTACACTTTACTTTGAAGTTTCATTTGTAAAAGTTATTTGAACCAGCAAATCTCTTAAAAATACCAGATCATATAATGGTGCCAAAGAGAACACTTGTTGAAAGTATGTCACAGGTGCCCTCCAATTCTCTCACGTGTCATTTTCTAGCAACATATTCTGTGGTAGCTATTGCATGAGAATCTAAAGATACAAAGGTAAAAAGACAAGGCGTACTTAGAACTTTGTGCAGGAGATAGGGACAGAGAAGTGTCAATAATCTGTGCTGGGTGGGTGAGGACAGCAAGGGCGCCCAGGCAGGCTGGGGAATGCTACTCTAGGTTGTCAGGAGCATTCCTTACTACAGAGGAAAAGCAGCACAGGCCTGTGTCCTTCTTCTAGAACAAGTGTTGGGTTGTTGGTGTGTGCCATACCACTTGCCTTTCTCGATGTCCCCTGTGTGAAGTCCCCTCATGAGGCAGTAATTGTTTGCTTCCTGCCATGCATCTTTCTTCAGATATTGGAGCCTCAGAAGCATGCCTGTATGGGCTGCATCCTTCATGCTGGCCTCTTCTGTCCTGACTCACAGCTTTTGACAATCACGGGTCTGTTTGTTGTGTGGCCCTGAGAGTAATAGTCCCAGGCACAGGGACGGGAGTGGTTTGCTTACAGATGTAATGTGGAAGTTGGTGGTATGTCCCTTGGAGAGTCTCTTAAATTCCATGAACAGGAATGGGACACATTTATCTTTATATAAGATGGAAAGCTTATGAGATCTTTCCCTTTCTTTAGAGGCTGGATCTGTTGGGAAAGAGGATGATCCTATCCTTGAAGGTGGGAAGCAAAATGCTGCGAAGTCCCTGCTGCCAGAATCCACCAACCCAGAGGCCATTCCTCTGCCTCCTCTGTCCGCACCTGGTGCCCCAGCCCATCCCAGGAAGGAGCTGCTCCCTCCTTCTCCTCCAGCAGAGCACCCAAAGCTCCTGCGCTCTGTCCCCACTCCTCTTGTGATTGCTCAGAAAATTTCTGAGAAGTTGGCGGGCAGTGAAGCCCTTTCCCCCACATTCCCCTCTAAAGAAGGCAGGCCAGGAGAATGGAGGACACTGGCTTCTCTGGCCCCTCGGAATGGGGACCACTTCCTGTGGCACAGACACGCAGCACAGCCCCCACCCAAGATTCACCGCTTCCCCAGCAACATCAGTGTGACCAACAGCTCAGGGAAAGAATTCAATAAGACCATCTCGAAGGCAGCTGTCAACGTTCAGGAGCGGAAAGCCCAGGTCCTGGCAAACATCAATGGCATCTCCTTCCTCACCCCAGGAGACACAGAAGACCAGTCACAGAAGAGTGACCTCCCAGAGCAGAGGTGTGTCTGTCCAGATCAGACAGCATATGCCCAGAGTGCCCTAGGCCTGGCCACTGAGGACGCAGGCCCCCGAGCAGCAGGGCTGTCCAGCGGTCAGCAGTCCAAAGGTGTGCAGACAGAACAGCCCCCTGCGCTGGCCAATGGTTTCCAGAGTATCCATGAGGCCCTCCGCAGTGAGCCCAGTCCCTTTGTGTCCACCGGAAAGACCATCACCTTCCGCCCAGACCCCACTCTTGCCAGCAGACTGGCCCGCCAGAATGCCAGCAGGAGCATGTACGAGCCCCAGCAGCCAGACAGTAGCCAGGAACCCCGGAGGCGGGGGGGCTCTCTCCCCAGAGCAGTGGGCTTCAGACCCCAGGGCATCACTGTACAGTTCTCTGGCCGTGGCTCCACAGAGGAAGCACGGCGGGAGGCCCTCCGCAAGCTTGGGCTGCTGAAGGAGAACTTGTGATGGGGACTGTGTCCCAGGAAGCTATAGGAGTGATGCCTGGCCGAGGCTGGCAGAACGGCTGGAATATACCTGGTTTTCCCCTCCTTAAAGAGAGGGTGAAATGAAACACTATTGTTGGTATAGGGTTGTCTTGTACTGTAAGTCCAGGAGCTAGTTGATACAAAACGCACGAGCCTTCATCTCAAATGCTGTGCCCAGTACAGGAAAGAGCCCAGTGGCTGGCATCAGGAGTCCCACAATGAGCAGGTCCTCTTCTGTGAAAAAGAAACCATGCCACAGCTTGTCTTTTTTCAGAAGTCCAAGAGAATAACCTTTAACACCTGTTGGCTTCCACAATTTGCTAGTGTGGTATGTTTTTAGATTCAGGAAGAGGGAGAGTGACCCAATTTGTCACTCTTGAGCCTTGCTCTGACTTCCATCCCAAGTACGTGATGTGAAAGCCATTTTAGATTGCTACTCAGGATTTTCCCCCCTTATTTTCTATAAAAGTAAAAAATGTGTAAGTTTTTATACTGTCATGATATCGTTTTGGCTGTTTGGTTTTAAAGGCTGAAAGATGGTACTTTGCCCCTAAGTATGCTTTTGTTTCTCGATGTAATTTGATTTGCCCACTATGTTAATTGAAAAATGAAAATGAAACCTTTAGAGTATCATTTACTGTAATTTTGAATTATAAGAGTATAATAGAAAGGTTGAGTTGGGAAAAAGTGATAATTTTGAGAAAGCAAGTTTCATCAGATTGCAGTCTGTTTTCCTATATCATGTATATGAGTCTGTGCAGTGTGTGTCTATATATATATAATGTGTCTTATCGTATACATAGGTATTGTGTGTTTGGTGTGCATGTATTATATACATAGAAACTTCCAAAAACCCAATTAAATAACTACAGGATATGAGCACTTCCTATTCTAAAGCCATCTCAGCATTGTGATGAATGACACAAGAAATTATGTCCCAATAAGGAAGTCTTTTTAAGGCCACAAGTATGTGTGCAAACATGGGTTTTCCTCAACAATGTATTCTTCTGTTCCCAGTTAATGTTCCCTGATTCCATTACCTTTTTTTTTTTCCCCCAGTACTGGAGATTGAACTCCAGACCCTGCACTTGCCAGGCAGGTGCTTATTGTACTGAGTTATCTCCCCAGCCCCCCGATTCCAAATAAACCAGGTTTTTTCTTTTTCAGTGAAGAACATGTTTAAAAACTGATCCTTTTTCTAGTTTATCACGTAACTTGAGTTTTGTGTATTCCAAGGTAGCTAAGAAACAAAAGACTGTCAAGAGTTTCCCTTGCTGATTCTGTTCCATTAGGAACATCTCAGGATTAATTTTAAAAGGGGGAAAACCATGAAGAAGGTGGAAAGCAGGAAAGAACTGATTGGTCTCCCAGACTGTGTCCTGTATGCTGAGTTGTGGCCACAAGCATTATTATCCAGACTACAGATATCTGAACACTTAGGCCAGGGATGCAGCACAGCAACATTGTGCCATCCTGGCAGGTGCGAGGTCATGAGTTCAATTCCTGGTACCAAAAAGAAAAAAAATGAAATCTGGAGCCTTAAACCTCTAAAAATAGATGAGGGAGGGCTGCCCTGGGCAGTCACACCCTTCTGTTTGTCTCTGCCAGCACTGTAACAGCCCATTTCTTTCCTGTTGAGTATTACTGAGATTCAAACTTTAAAATGTACTGTGAAGGGCATTTTTTTCATAGTATTCACTTGCCTTATAAGTCACACAAAAGAAATGATTTTTTCCCCCTTAGAACCACACTACTTAGTCTCTCATGTTTTCATGAAATAATATCAAATATTGATTATCTTAAATAGGTTCTTTGATCTTTTTATTACAGTTTGTTGAAAGGTTTCATGAGTTTCCTTTATACAAAGTGAGATGCCGTATGCAGTGTTTTATAGTTGAAGGTCTTGGTAGAGCTGATATTTTAAGTAGCCTTTATTTGAGGATTATTTTTATCTTACCCTATGATTTTATTGTGATAGGTAAACTTAACTGTATATTAGTAAATTTGTTCTGATAGTGACATTTTTGAAAAATGTTTTATCTTATAGTAAACAACTTTGATTTTGACATGTACAGTATCCTTAATTATTTTCTTTTAAATGGTTATCTTTTCTATTTATTCATCATTTCTATTTATTCATAAGTATTCTGTTACTCAAGTATTTCTTATGCCCATAATCTTTGTGATCAAAGCCCTGTGTTTTCAGAGCTCCAAAAGACAGTTGCAACTGGCCCAACCTGTGTGTGTACATAACAGGTTAACAAAAATCTAGTTTGCCAAGAGGCGTTAGTTTCCTTGCTGCAACTGTGTGGCTTTACATCCGTAAAAGCCATCTGGTTCAAGGTAATTTGAAGGACCATATTTCAAAGCGAGAGTGTAATGAAAAGGAAGGCGAATCTTCTTTTTCTTTTGATACCAGAAATCGGACTTAGGATCTTGTGCTTGCCAGGTAGGCACTTGTGCCCCTGAGCTACATCCCCAATCCTAGTTTCTTTTCAAGTGATACCAGTAAATCAGCCTGTATAAAACCTAAGAACCAGAAAACAATCTCCTTTGTCTTTAAGAAAGTGCACAAATGTCCAAAATAGACTTGAGCCAATGGCACGACTTTGCAAAAGTCCTGAGGTGAGAACGTTACTCCATTTCCCTCCTCTTCAGCATCCTTTCTTTGGCTTTTCCTTCCAAGTGTGATACTCATCTGCACAGAATTATCATAAGTTTGGGTCTCTTCTTTGTTCCTCCCTGCTGAAGTACACATTCTTCTATGTGCACATTCTTCTTCAGTGCTGCTTAAGAAGGCACAGGAAAGAGATTTGAAGATGCCATACCCTAGAAATGTCGAGGGCACTGCTGTCCACAGTGCTCTGTGCATCTTGGCCTGAGGCAGAGCTGCTGAGAGAGGCAATAGCCAGGGCTGGCTCAGTGCTCTGAGCTGGGCTCATACTGTTCCCCCTCCTCCACTGAGAACTAGCGCTCCTGAAGATCTTAGGGGAATTGATAAATGGGGTCTGTGGAGTCCTTAGCATTGACCATTTCATTAAAAATGACAAACAACAACAAACAGGGGGATGCAATTCACTGGTAGAGTTCTAAACCATCATGCATGAGGCTGTAGGTCCTACTACCCCGCAGGGAGCAGATCAGTAGTTAATTCTTTTTGACCCCAACAGCTCTGTCTGGGGATTTGACCTTTCAGAAAGTAAAGTGGCAATTTTTTTTAAAATAAATGATGTAAGAAATCAATTCTTAGGTATGACAATGTATACCAGTAATCCCAATACTCAAAGGCTGAGGCAGGAGGACTATAAGTTTAAGCCCAACCTGGGTGACTTAGTCTCAAAAGGATAGAAAGGTCTAAGGGTGTTTAGAGTGAAGACCCTGGGTTCAATCCCTAGCACTACAAAAACAAAAGTTCTTTAAAGAAAAAAATAAGATAAATAAGACAACAGTTTTATCAAAAAATGTGTACCTGCTGTGCTGATTTCTAAGTGACAATTTCACAATGTTTCTCTGTATTCTATCCCTGTGACAAGAACAATCAATAAACTTTTTTTTGCCTCTAAATCACTCCGTTTGGTTCTTAAACTTACCATCCAACAGTGGTGTTCTCTGGACGAGCAGGAACCTTGTTTTCCTGTTGTCCTCTGCCATGGTCCCCAGCCAGAACTGCTGCATGGAAGGAGGAAGGGGAGGAGTTCAAGGGAATGTTCACCTGAGAAGTTGATGTTCTCACTGAAATGACAAGTTGCCAAACAGGTTTTGTGTCTTCACAACAAGGCTTTTTTCCTTGCTTTAAAATATGGGGAACAAGTGCCGATATCCTTTTCTAATCTCCTAGTTGGACAAGCCCTGCTTTCAAATAACTGAGAAAGGAGGACAGAACTGTAAATTGTCACATCCTGGGAAAACTGGAATTCTAATTTAGAGTTAGACATGGTGGCCAGAACTGTTTTTCACTCATTAGCCTTCCATCTATCCCCGACTGTGGTCCTCGCCCCTCTTTCTCTGGAACACCAGCTTTCTGAGGGATGAAAGCCTGAGGGTGGCAATCTGCCTCTGCAGGAGAACCCTAAGGTCATCCTACACTTCTCATGTGAAGTGGTTGGCCTCTGGGGGTGACCACAGAAGGCCTTCCAGAAGGACTGTTATTTACAAAAATAGAGCAAAACTGCCCTGCACATTCCAAATTCTTAAACTTCAGAAATGCTCATCACTCTGGTCATAGCAGTGTCCCTCTGGTAGAGCCAGTGGGGTCCCATGACACCCCCAGAAGTTGAAAGATCTTTTTGGACTGGGTTCTCATCCTCTAAAGTATCTGAAAGTGGGGGAGGTGCTAATTTCCAGCAAAGGCCTAAGGAGCCCAATGGCCTGGCCTCTCTGTTCTCAGGCCAGGGCTGTAGAGCTCTGAGGCGCCGGCAGGGGTAGCAGTCCCCTGCCTCCAGTGGTACTGGTCACCTCCTGATCCCACCCCACTCCATACCTTCCCCTTTGGGTTCTAGCATGCAGAACAGGCAGTCTAGATAGAGCCTCACCTACCTATTGGTAGAGTTTAATACAGGTTTTCTCTAACCTCAAGGCTACCTTAATTTTTTTCTTCTTTTTTTGTTTTTGATATAGAGTCTCACTGTGTAAATCAGACTAGCACTAAACTATGTAGCTAGCCTCAAATTCACAGCTATCCCTCTGCCTCTGCCTCCTGAGTACTGAGATTATAGTCATGTGCCACCACGCCCGACCTGCCTTAATATTCTTGAAGCCAGCTGCTTCCAGACTGAACTTGGCATTTGAGGCTCCGGAAAGATTTGTGAAAGGCCTCGGGCCTCTCTTCTGGGTGCTGGAGGTCTGGCCCGCCACTTCCTGGCTTGGGGTTACATTCTCTCCATTTCATTCCTCTGCCTGTAGTCCAGGCAGTGGCTATGACTGTCCTACCCTATCTGGAAGTAAAACCTGACATTTAGAAACTGAGGCTAATGGAATTTAGTCACTGACAAACAGGTCACACTTCATAAACTTTAACCTCAGAGCACTTGTGTATGAAGCAAAGCTGCCAAGGCTAGAAACCTAAATTGTGGAAATAACCTTTTAGGGGTGGAGAAGAATGAACAAGGAATCTATGTGCCAGGCAGGCTTGTATGCCCATGTGTATGTGTGGTCACGCAAGCATGTGCCTCGGTGCAAACTTGAACGAGGTGACTGCTCTGATTTCAGTCCTTGGCACTTCTGATTTGGTGTGGCGATCCCATGGTTTATTTATTTATTTTTAAACATTTATTTATTATTTTGTGTGTGTGTGGCCAGCTCAGCCCACCAGGGGGCGGGGCTGGCTGGCATGTGGTGCTGGGGGATTGGTCACTGTGTTTTGCCAAGCTTGTTCCAAGTAGGTGCTTTAGACCACTGAGCCATCTCACCAGCCGATCCCATGGTTTATTTACATGTGTGTACTGCCTTTGAGTGTCAAGACACAGTAAGAGGCCTGTGCTTGTTATTAGAGATGTCTTTTAGTCTCTCTGGCCTTTGTGAAATGACATAAATCCTCATACAATGAACATGGCTTCTGGTTACTGGGACAGCAAGTCACAATGTGGTTCTTAACTTTCAACTGGCCTGCCTCTTTCTCCTTCTCCCTCCCTTTTTTTCTCTGTCCCTCCCTCTTTCTCTTTTGTAGGATTGAGCCCAAGGCCTTTGGCCCTGACTACACTCCGGCCTTTATCCTTTTTGATCCTTACACAAGGTCTCACTAAGTCACTAAGTTGCCCACACCAGGCTCAAATCTTTGACCCTAGTGTGTTGGGATTACAGGCTCAGAAACTTACTTTCTTACTTTGACAGTGTCTATTTTTTCAGCTACCCATTGTGACCTTTCCATATGGCAGACATTGAGTGGTGCCAAATATTATCTCCTTATTCTGTAACTGCCTGCTCTGGTGACTCACTGAGAGGCTCCTTTCCTTCAGGATCTTGTGGAGGCCACCACTTTTCCTGTCTGGTGGCCTGCACTGTAGACCCTCTGCTTCCAGCGCCTTCACTGATCCTGTCTGACTTGTGCCACAGCTGTTGTCTTTCAGCCTTTTCTCCTAAATGTGCA